AACTTGACCCTACCGATTCGGAGGATCTTGACGTTCCTCCGAGTCTGGAAGAACTGGATGCAGCGGTCTAGCAACTTGGCAGAAATAAAGCTCCCGGCCTGGACGGTCTCACTTCGGAATTCTTTCAGTCCTTCTGGCCTGTTTTCAAAGACGATTTTCTCTCTGTGATCTCCCTCGCTTGCAGCTCCGGAATTCTTCCGCATACCTTTCGTCGAGCTGTCATTATGCTCATTCCCAAAAGGGAGAACTTTCTGATGTAGCCAATTGGCATCCAGTTTCCATCCTAAATACGGACTATAAAATTTTTGCCAAGTTGCTGACCAATCGCCTCAAACAATTTATTGGTAATGTGGTACACCAGGACCAGAGTTACTGTATTCCTGGTCGGACTATTTCTGATAACATTTCTCTCATTAGAGATATCATTAATTTCTGTAATTTTAATGATGTTCCTGTAGCCATGGTCAACTTGGACCAAAAGAAAGCTTTCGACAACGTTGACCACGATGTCTTGTTTGATACTATCAGAGCCATGGGTTTTGGGGACGCTTTTATATCATATATTAAACTTTTGTATAATGGCGCCGAGAGCCTGGTAAAGGTGTGCGGTTTCTTGACTGCACCCTTCACCGTCGACAAGGGCATCCACCAAGGATGCCCGCTCTCAAACCTCCTTTACTCTATTGAGATAGAACCCTTTTTAAACAAACTCCGTAAAAATCTCAATCATCACAGTTTTCTCCTTCCCGGTACTGATAAATATTGCTCGGTCTCGGCATACGCCGACGACATTTCCATTTTTGTCACCTCCTACGCTGGTTTTAAAATAATTGAGCACAAATTTAATATGGTCTTTTCAGCAGAGCCTCTGCTGCAAGGTTAAACACTCAAAAATCCCAGGGGTTGTGGGTCGGTTCGTGGACCGGACGAGTCAACGGGCCCCTGAACTTTCAGTGAAGCAATCAAGGTCTCACTTTTCTTGGAGTTCGCTTAGGAAACACGACTTTCTCAAACAAGACTGGATTATCTGTAAAG